TAAACTGGAACTCTCATTATAAGACCTTTAGTTTGCAGAATAGCTTCAGCTACAGAAGCAGGCGCGTATAGTGATTACTGGTGCTCTCAGCACAACACCTACAGTGAAAACCCAACTAGGGTACCCTCTCTCCCCACACCCTGGAAGGTGAAGCAAGGCAAATCATTATGCGAATACCATCAGATGTGATGCCTAAGATATCAAGACCTTCGCTATAGTGAACCTGCCAAACAGAAATGTGTGGGCCCAGTGTAAGATTGACCTCATGGGGGCAGGATATGAATTGAAATCTGCACAAAGATGCTGGAAAGGAAGCAACTTGAGAGGCAAAGAATTAACTTTTTCTTTTGGAGCTCTGGACCTACAACTCTCATTTATAGAAAACGATCCGAAAAACAGATAGAATGGTCTAAACATGCCTAATGGTTTGTAGCATAATCTGGGGCTTGCTAAGCAGATATACGAGGTCTGACAATTAAGTAATGCAACCGATTTTGTTCATCGGCCTGTGGTAACACTGCGAACCTGTAGTTCCGCCACCGTAATAGCAGATCCCTACTCTACTCTATTCTCTGATCAAAAAGCCCACCGAATGAACATCACTCAAGATTGTCTCGAGCAGGTTGAAAGTGATCCTACTCTTCTCGATCGAGTAATTACTGGTGATGAAAGTTGCTTCTTTCAATATGACCCCGAAAATAAACGACAAAGCCAACAGTGGCTGTCCCCTGGAGCGCCAAGGCCAAAAAAGGCGAGAATGAGCAAGTCCAAAGTAAAAACCATGTTGATTTGTTTCTTAGACAGCAAAGGGGTGGTCACAAAGAGTTCGTACCACCTGGACAGACCGTAAATCAAGTATTGTACCGCAATGTGCTCGAAAGGTTACGAAAAAGGGTGCTCAGAGTGCGTCCAGAGATCGCGAATTCTGCATCACGACAATGCTCCCTGCCACACTGCGTTCAGTATCTCTCAGTTCTTGGCGTCTAAAGGCATCACAACGTTACCGCAACTGCCTTATTCACCGAACTGTCACCCTGCGACTTCTTCTTATTCCCCCATATAAAAAAATTCGTCAAAGGTCGACTTTTTGACGCCGTTGAAGATATCCAAGAATCTGTGACGAGGGTACTAGGAGAGGTCCCACAAGAAAGGTTCCAGAATTGTTGTGTATAGGTGCGGGAGGAGGCTACTTTGAAGGGGATCACATCGATGTACCTTAATTTTTAAATATACTCGATTTTTGAATTTCGTCGCATTACTTAATTGTCAGACATCGTACTGGCTATACACGAGGATCATAAACCCTTTAGTCTGGAGACTAGCTTGGGAAACAGAGGAGGGCAATATGGTGATTACTAGTGCTCTCAGCACAACACCTACAGTGAAAATCCTACTAGGGATACCTCCCCCACCCTGGAGACAGAAGTAAGGCAAAGCATTCTGCGGATACCATCCGATGGGATGCCTAAGATATCAATGGCAGACCTCCCCTATAGTGAACCTGTCAAACAGAAATGAGTGGGCCCAGTGTAAGATTGGCCTCATGGGGTCAAGATATCAATTTAGATCTGCACAAAGATGCTGGAAATGAAGCAACTTGAGCGGCAAAAAATTAACATTTTCTGTTGGAGCTCTAGACTAAAAAAAACATCTACACTGCACAACAGTGATACTCAAATATACCTACACCTTACCAACATGACTGGCACTTTATACGAGGGCAAAAGGGCGAGCCGACGGTTTGTTCGAATTATATTATATTATTATAAAGCACTCCTGTTTGAAACCATTCAGACGACTGAAGGCGTTAACAACAGCCCAGTGCAGTTTCAAAACTGTAAGAAACTGATAAGAGCCATAATGTAGGGACGCCAAAAGTTTATTTATTATTATTAAACGACCATAGAATTTTTCTATTTAGATTTAAGGTTTAACCTAGGGTGAGATTAAATGTTTCGTCATCTGTAAAATAAACTCATTATAATTCTGGTTCACAATATGTATACACGTCATTAAAAAAATATATATCCTCACAAAATAGACACTTCAATGTACAAAAATGTCGAAAACTGGAATAGATACAAAAGTATACGTAACTATGCTTTGTCATCCTTCAGCTGCATATTTAAAATTGGTTACCTGTGAAGATGCCGCTACGATGTGGAAGAATTTAAAAAGAATAAAAAATATTACGTGAAGAACTAAGCCCCCATTTGCAAGATCCACAAATTATCAACAAATATTACTTTTTCCAATACCAGCGCTAATACTGGGTAGATTGAATTTTATAAATCCAATAGGATAAATTACTCCATTTTCGATTTTGTACTACTTTGTACTACTCAAGAAGACATTAGAAGTATCATAAAACAGATGATGATGTTACTTTACTTATGCTCAGACTGTGTCTTTCGGTCATACCGAATCACATTATTCATATCATAAATGTTTGTTTCCGACGGTTGCTTCTCCATCCGGCGTCAATGATCTTAGGCCAATCAGCCTATTATCTGTACTTAGCAAGGTGTTGGATAAGGTCGTTCATCAGCAAGTACTTTCATATACAACTAGTCATAATATAATTCCATGAAACCAGTCAGGTTTTCGGCCAAATCATCGCACGCTTACTGCTTTGGTACATATTAATGACCTACAAATAAATAATTTGGATAAAAACGTTTTAACGATGCTCGCGGATCATGTGTGCTAAATGAAGCACTTCGGTTTCACCGATCCATCCGTATCTTTTATCCAGTCCTATTAAAATAATAGGCAGCAGTTCGTTAGAACTAATATTGGTATATCAGATTTGGGTAACGTTACTTCGGGAGTGCCACAGGGTTCAATTCTTAAACCTCTGTTGTATCTCTTGTACACATTTGATATGTCTAAGGAGATCGAATTTTCTCAAATTCATTCCTATGCTGATAAAACCCAGCTGTTACATTTAACTCAAGTAATTATGATAACGTCGAAGCTAATCTTAGTATGAATCTTAACAGTCTTTCTCAATAGAGTAAAAAACACGATCTTAAGCTAAATTCTAAAAAAAACACAATTATGATATTTGCTCCCCCAGGAAGCTAAAAATTTTTGTGTGATCATATTAAAATGCAATTGGAAAATAAAAATCTTAAATTTATAAATGAAGCAAAAAACTTAGATGCTAATGGATGGTCGATTGAGATATAGTGATCACATTTCTAATCACACATTTCTAATTTATTTAAAAAGACATATGTCCCTCAAAACGTTATAGGCAAATAAACATATATTGAATTTTAAAGTACGAAAAAAAGTTCCGAGGAATGCATCCTTACTAAAGCCATATACTGTCTTCCATTATGTTATCCATTCTTAACCGTTGCTGATAAAACCAGGTTACATAAAAGACAGAACAGCTGTGTCCGATTCGTTTATGGTTTGAGAAAGCTTGAACGTATATCAAAAAAAATATTTTTCTACTCCCGTTTGTAAAATACCTAATTACACACCGATCTAGCTTGCGGGAAGCCACGTCAGTTTCGTTTCCCACAGATCCGAACCACTTCGGACATTTCCCCGATTTTACCGCACCGGTTTGGGAGCAATCGGATGTTTTCGAAGATATCTCCCATGCCTTGAATTTTGACGTTTGTCAATTCTGACCGCCATGTCAGTGAATGTATTCGTGTTGCTTTGCGAAAATGTACCCAAAAACTATTGGCCGTAGAAAAAGTATAGTATGCAACACGTTCGGTCAACTTTTTAGATCACTCGTTTTTATTAAACACTCGCTCCGCTCGTGCCAAAAAACTAGTGAGTCAAATACCGTTTACCGCACTTGTTGCATAATATACTATTACCAACGTACCTGAAAGATACTTTAGCGTTTTGGTATAAAATTCACAATACTCCTTTAAGGCAAAAAATATTCCGGTTATGCTCTAGCACGATTCTTGTACGTTTGAACGCTGCTTTAGCTATAATGCCATTAAACTTTATAAGAATTATAATATTTTGAATCCAGCTCAGTAGTAGTATTTAGGAAAAAAAATTAAGGTCCATTTATCGGAATTACAAAAGTTTCTCTCCTAAGCAAATTAATATTTTACCAATAATGAATTTTATTATTATTATAGCTTGTTGTTTCATTATTATTGTAATATTCGGTTAATGTTGAACAGCTGAGATCAAGATGTTAAACTAGACTTGGTCGTTTGAGATATGTAACTAACCAAAACTATATTAGTTTGTATTGGTATTAAATAATTTTACAAACTTATATAAAATGATAAGTAAGAACGAAAAATAACAAATTCCCAATATATAATTATCAGGCAACGATTTGTGAAAAAAAAAATCACAAATAAATAGTAAAAGCCCCTCAACCTTTCTCTTAAAATGGCGCATGTGGAATAGGATTATAGAAATTTGTTGATCACGTCGAAAGTGAATTGATAAAAAAAAACAAATAAGCAACTCCATTCCGTCGAAATGGTTTATAATGTTGCCCAAAGAGATGATCCAACATAAGTTTTTGAACTTTTTTTTGCATATTTCAGTAGCGTATTTACCCAACCAAACAACGTCCAAGTAGATAAGAGCCTTGATTCTCAACCACTTTTCACACTTAGTTTTATCGACAGAAAAGGTCACTTCAATTTTTGCCAAAAAATGCTCCACCATCACCATCTCATTAGAAATCGGATTCAATCCCATTAGCATTCTCTGCACTTTTGCAAAACTTTTTGGAAAGCTTTGTTTACAAACATATTTTCTCCGTATTCAAAAGACAAATTGTAGATGAACAGCATGGGTATGTGAAAAGTAGATTGATGTCTACTCTGATTCTAGCAAGACCTTCAAGAAAATAAATCATACAATCTGGGTTTCAATTGTTGCTGAGATAGGGGGGATATAAATCACTATGTTAATGTGCTCGACTGTTCTTTCAACTTGGTGTCCCCAAGGACAAAATAAAACTGTTTCATTAACTGCGAAAGGCTTTTATTCAAAGATGATTTTAAAAGCTACTTTATGATTTATTGCTTAGCTGACTGTTTTAAAGAGTCCCAGCTGATCTGTATTTTACAATCAATTCAATAAATTTATTCTATTTTATATTTATAGCGAATCTAGTTGAGACTTTCTTTGCGCAGTGAGTACGTTTTTATCCTTTATAAGGTAAGATCTGAAAAAAAGACAGAACTACCCAGTGCACAAGGAAGATTGACTCCCTCTTACGCTTTTTAAAAAATAAAAATCAATTTATAGCAAATTTATTCAATCCAAAATAGAAATAATTGTTTTCACATGTCAATTTATAAATATTTTAAGGAATATAATAGGAAAGTTTATGCTGGAGGTGTACTTCGCTATGTTCAAAAATTACCTGGACATTATACAAGCTATGTGTCTCATTATAGTATAGGCTGTAGAAACGTTTTTGGAAAGAAAATTGAATATGCTGATATTTTGTATCTCATATTATAGACAACTTGTGATATACATGAGAAACATCTGACTCTTGGAAGTGATTGCGTTTGCGTTTGTGCAGTCTACCTGTACAGGTGAAAATTTCGAATTTTAAATCATTTTAAGCAGATTTTTTTTGGTTTTTACTTTTTTTACATTCTTTTAGCAATTTAAATATCTAAAATTAAATAATAAAATTGTAACCTCTGTATTCTTATGGAGATAATCATAAAAGCACTTTAATATTTTGTAATTAAAAAAGACTGCATATTTAAAATGTTTATTTAACATTATTTAAAGCCAAAAAACTGTCAATTTCATTCATGCATATTTTACATATTTTTATTTGTGTAATTTCAATTATAATTTTTTTGGAAGAACACTAATCGTAAAATAAAAACAAATACTCAATCACATGGACGACACCATCTTAAAAAATGGCACCTGTAACGCTCTGTCTCAAAAAGGCATATATTAATTTAGACTTTAATAAATCAAAATATTTCTCACCCTCTGATATCATAAAATAATATTAAAATTTCAGCTGCACGAGGATGGTATGAATTTTTTTTTGTGTCAATTTAAATTTTTGTGTATAAAAATTTATTTGAAAAAAACTGCTTAAAATGATTTAAATTTCGATATTTTCAACAGGTGGCTGCAACTTCCATGTGCGTATGTATACCAAGAGTCATCCACAATATGATATACAATGAATCAGTCTATCTTTTTCAAAAAAACTGTCATATTATTTACAATTCCCCTGGATTCTTCATGCGTCAGTTGCTGATCAATAGAATTAGTTGACATTTGGGCCAATAACTAGGCGAAACGTCAACAAACTGTATTTGTCAACAATCGACGCAGGAGGAATTCAAGAGAATTGTAAATAATATAATTTTCTGGACTTTGCGACCTCCTTTGGCTTCCAGAATTGCCTAGTTTGTATACTATCCAGCCACTTTACAAACTACACAAGATATGTCTATCAAATTAACTATAAACTAAAGAGGACTAGTAAAAATTTTGTGTACTTTGTATTTTGGTGAGCAATCTTACATAGTTTATAAATTAGCTTGAATAGTAGTTCATATAATATCCAGCTAGCTTTTAAACTACTCAAATAAACACTCCGCTGGTAAAATATACATTCTCATAGGGCCATATAGTTTCAGAACAGAAAACCAGCTAAAGAAAATATAGGTACTAGCTATACCTATTAATTGTTAACTGCTCTTTCATCACGTGCTTGCAATTGCTGTGAAACTTGTTCTATGCACGAATTTTATAAATAAATTATTCAAATCATTATCATATTAATAAAATTGACCCCGTTCAATGCCTATGCATGAGAATTTGGTGTCGCTAAGGTTTAAGGCTACCTTGGACTGGCCACCATTGCCTCGATCACTAAGGCTTCGAGACATTTGAAACAGCATCAACCATACACTCTGCAGTGGAGCAACACTAACTTCAAAAAATTCTAAAAAATTAAATAATACTGAGTTGCAGCACAACATATTATAACAACCAGTTCGACCGTGCTTTTGACGAAAATGGAAGAAATTAGAACTTACTGACCTGGTTATTATAATCTAGGCTTGCAGTTCATAACATCGAATCACTAGCCTTACGGTAAAGTAAACTCGCAATTAACTAAAGCTGAGCAAAGGAATATTGAAATAATAAATCAATACTTAAATTTAATGGGTCTTGTAGCCCGGGAAAAGCAAATTCAGCGCACTTCTTAGGTTGGTATTGACCTGCTCCCCCATAACCAAGTCCTTCTCAAAACGTTCCCTGCAATAGGGGCACGAATACAAATTCAACAAGCAGCAGTTGAAGTATTCTTTCAAGCATGCCTAAAAAACGTTGTGCAAATAAAAACAATTAAAATAGTTGAATGAGTTCAGCCAATATTTGGTCGAAGTTAACAGCTATAATGATTTTTTTTAGAAAACATTATTTTTTTCGAACACTTACATAACTAACCAAAATTAACAAAATTCATCACAAAATCTATAATCATTAAGTCTAGGTAATTTATAACTTTAAAACGCCATTCAATTAGGCTGAAAATAAGTTTAATAAGCATGAGTTATATTAATATTTTTAAAATGTTTTAATTTAAATAATAAATTTTGTTTTCTAAACCAACCATTATACAATAAAAATAAGATCCTAGACTCTTACCTGACAGAAATTATGGCCGCACTGCCCTGTAACCGGTTGGAAAACCAGCTCCAAGCAGATGACGCACCTAAATGTTTCCTCGACTTTATCTAGGAATTTCTTCCTTCCCTCTTTCAGAACGCTCTGGCACTCTGACCACATCTTCTCGTTTATTTTGTCTGCCGTTATAGCATTTTTCACTTTCACGTCCAATGCATAAGCTTCGAGTCTTGGGAACTTGTTTTTAATCTTGTCGCCGGACTCATTACCGCGTTTGCGTTTCGAGGATTTTGAATTTTCTTGGTTAGCAGATTCCGCCCTTTGTTTTGCCTCCTGGGCTTCCAAGAATCCCGGGGGATACTGAAATGGTTGACAACTGAGAGATCTGATTACATTATTTATTTCTTATGCATCCTCTTTGTACAACAACTCAAACTATCCTTGATCAAAAAAAAGAACTACTAGTCAAATCGATCTACTTTGAAACACACCATACTGCAACATAAGAATTTCTGAGAAACATGTTAGAATTTGAGAAACAAGTGAAAAGTTAGGGCAAAAACAAAATTTCTGAGAAACATCAGAATTGCTGACAAGTCAGTATTTCTGGGAACTATGTCAGAATTTCGAACAAGTCAGAACTTCTGAAAAACAAGTCAGAATTTCTGAAATAGGAGTCAGAATGTATGCTATAAGTCTCTAATAAGGGACATTGCGAATCGAAACATCAGTCGCTGGTTTTGGAAATACAGGGCGATAAATGTTTTAATTTTATTCTGATTTTTTTCATTAATTTGGAAAATTTTTACAGTATAATAATAAAAAGTGGAAGTTTTAAGTATTTTGACATGACAATTACCAATGTAAAACTACTTGCACGTTTCTCCTAGCGGGCGCTAGTTACACCACAATATTTAGATAAATCAAATCTTTTTTTTTTTTAATGAAAGATAATAGTAATCTGAAAGAACTCTGTAGGTTTTCGACTTAATTAATAAAGATAAAGAGGTACGCCGAATAATGAAAAACTAATATTTAATAATAACAATTTCGATAACAGTAATGGAAAAAACACTTTAAGTAAAATGTTAAGATTTAATAACATTTTGACTTGTTCCTCAGAAATTGTGCAACATTACAGCATTATGTAAAGCTACTCACAATCATGTCGAAAGTCTTAGCGTCGCTCTCCCACGGCGCAGGCGCGGGATCGTCCCTCCTCAAAAGGTACCTCCACACCAAGTACCCGGATTTGCCCTTTACGGGAAAATACTTCACCACTTTGTAGAGGCCGTCGTATCTGAAACCGTCCTCGGGAGCGAACTTGGAATGTTTTTTAAGCTTGTAGCTCCTGACGACGCGAACGGGTCTGCCTTTTTTCCAATCTTTGGACTCGGCACCGTTTTTCTTGTCGAACGGGGCGTTGCAATTCAGCGCTAAAGCTCTAAAGAATAAAGTAAGTCGCGTTTTAAGTACACTGAGATGTTGACATTAAACGAGGTACTGACTTATTGGTACGTGTCAGTTCTTGATCGAAACTTTGATGGCCGATCCTTTTGTTTCCGCTTAGATCTCGGCCTCCCGATCCAGTATAATAAAACTCATTTCCATTGTCCACGTCGTCTTCGTAACCTAAAGAAAATATAGATCGAGCTCTCTAAGAATACTTACACATTCTGGTCAAAATACAATGTTTTAAAAAAGTTTTATTTGAATTTATTTATTTATATAAAACATTAAACAAAACATTGTACTCTGATAAAAAAAAAAACAAGTCAACAATATGTTTTTGTACTTAACTTTAATTACCTATTGCATCCTATAGCTAACTCTTTGCACAATGTTCCAAATTGTGGCTTTTGGTTAGTTAGTTATCTAAATAAATGTTACACTGCATTTAGTTGCTGCATTTACGAAAGCTGTCAATTTAGAATGGCTTTGCAGTAAAGTCTGCTTTTATAACCAACACTTCCACTTTCTTTAAACTGGTTCAACATTCTCTTCAAAAAATTAAAACTAACCAAAACATATGTGTTGGGATGATTTCTTTCCTGTGAGTTTAGACCCGACAAGCCGATAAACAATTTTGATGGCATTCTTCAAGAGTAAAAATCATATTAATACTCTCTTCTTTTGGGAATACTGTTATTTGCACTGAACAACACATCCACACATGAGACAAAACAAACAAGTCAAAATAAATTTTTTTATTTAGTGTTTGCTATCATAAATGACTTATAGAAATCATAATATACTTTATAATTTTAAATTTTAGGCATTTTGCATTAATTAAATCATCCTTAAATAATAACAAAAAAAAATTCTGAAAAAAATATATCTAATAATCTAAATTTAGAGTTTGTAGAATACGTCTAACCAACCTCAACCAATTTTGATTAATAGCTCACCAAGAGTGCTACCTAAGCATAAGTATTATAAAATTAAATTAACTTTATATGTAATGATAGAATTTACAACAAACTCACTTGGCATTTACGGTTATAAAATACACTTTTTTATTTTCTTTTTCCAATTTGACTTTAATTGTCATTTTTTATTTAGTATTTAGTGTTAAACATGACCTTTTCTATTAAGAAATTCACTTTGTTTTGTTTAAGCAAAAAATATAATTTTTATGTCCGTTTTGAACATTTATGGAATTTGTGAAATTTATATTTAATTATTTAACACTAAAAGGTTATTGAAAAGTACATTCCCTAGTTTTAAAAAAATGGCCTTCAATTTAAATTAATGTCTTAATTTGTGACCCTGCATAAAACAAGAAGTTTTTATAATTGGGATATAAAATATGGTCTAAAATTAGATTACATTTAGACAAAACTCAAATAATTACAAAAACCTTAAAATTTAGGTAACAAAAACCTTATTGAAACACTTATCTTGATTGCAAAATACAAAAATGCTTTTTTTTTAAACTACCAGTTTGATACTTTTTACATTTTATGGACAACCTGTACAAGCTGATTCATTGTAAATGTTCATCACACTCTAACTTTTTTATTTTACATTAAAAAAAGATATAAACAACAATTGTAGAGTTTACGTGTAGAATATTACATACTAGTAGATCAACATTTTTTAAAAAATTGGAAACCCCGTAAAAATATATAACATGTTATAGATATTTTTTACATTCAGGATAAAATTAGCCAAAATTAAAATCAACACTCGTTTTTCAAAATTCGATAAAATTAAAATAATATCAATGATTTGAAATCCTTATTGGATAATTAAAGCTTTGATAAGTTGAAAGCGTAATATATCCAATCAATTAAAATATATTTTTATTTTCTATACATTAAACAAATATCGCCATCGCTATTTGCATTTTTGTCTTTTTTTTTGTACAAAACGATAAAATTTCGAATTTTGTGTCAATTAAAAACACTATTATTTTATAGGCTATAATTGTCATAATTAAACAAAAGAGGTAACGTTATGAGCGACGATTTCATTTTTGGCTAATTCCGACCTTAATGTAAAAAATAACTATAACATATTATATATTTTTGAAATCTTGTATTAAACTTTTTGTTCTAAAATGTAAAGTTACAGGGGGTAACATTTACAATAGATCATTAAGTACAATATGAAAGCAATTTTAAAAAGTAACCATAATAGCAAAGAGCCAAGTTGAATCAACAAAAAAAATCAAAATAAATAGGAACTAAAAGTTCAGATTTTCAAGAAATTATATATTTTGAGATGACAATTGTTTCGACAACACCGTGTCTTTATCACATTTGATAAAGACAGGTGTTGTCGAAACAAATGTCATGTCAAAATATATAATTTCGTGAAAATCTGAACTTTTAGTTCTTATTTATTTTGATAAATGGATTTTCATCAAGTAAAAGCCACCTCAGTTCAAAAAAAAAAATTGTTTTATTATTATATTGAATTAAGTAAATCTCCTAATACTCTAAGACTAGAGACGCCAAGAGAAGTTTGTACTCATAGTATAAAAAATACGTAGTAGTTCACTTACCACCAGAAAGAACTATACTGTATGCACAATCTGCTTCCTGTCCGTGAATTCCAGCAACGGGCGGCCGATGTACACCAGATTCAGCAACCTGAAAAATGAAAAATTCAATCCAGATTATTTCCCATAGGCTCTACAAAAGAACTAACTCCATGTCTGAACTTCCAGCAAAATCCAACCTCGACGTTCGGTATGGCCCCCACGTGGGATTTCTTCACCAGATTATTGTGTTTGGTGAGTCCCGCACATGCCATTCCTTTCCCCCAATCTCGTGTGGTTTCTTTTTGTTTACTCGGCATTTTTTCCCTCTTTTTGCTAGGTTTGATCTTCTCGCCAGGCTTTACAATTTTTGAGTCGTCGGTTTTACAAGATGGACAGTACCTTTAATAATAAAATGAATAAGTTATCAAATAGGAAAATATTAATATGAAAGAAATAAAAATTAACCCCTACATTGGGCTATAAAAATAGCGTGATGTACTGAAAAGTTCAACATTAATTTCATGTTTCTCAAGCAAGGTGATAAAACATCAACTGGCAAACTAGCATCATAAGCATGGGATAGTTCAAGGTAAAAAAGTGCTAGGTCTCTTTTTAGATCTACTGTAGGCCTTCTACACTGTGGCATATCCAGTCCTGTTCCAACGAATGGACTATTTAGGAATAAAAGAAACCCCCAACAATTTAGTTAAATTATATTTGGAAAGAGAACAATGTATTAAAATTTTGGGAGAAGTAAGCAAGCGGAGGGGAACAGAGTTTGGTGTGCCACAGGGCTTCCAACACTCCTCTTCAACATACACAAGGATGCCATATTAACTGAATTCAATTCACATGTGATTGTTTCGAGACAATACAGAAAACACAAAAATGGTAGTAGAGATTGAAGGATTAAAAGCAAGTTTAATATCACTGTAGTTTTAGCCAACCAGTCTCAAACTTACAACCATTCTAGAATGTTATTTTTGTTATTTAAATATATAATGTATCTAAGTGTATCTTTTTTTTTCTTTTTTGCTTTATTGCTAGATTTATCAGAATTACTTTAAATGTAAAATTAATTAGTCCGAGGTAATTAATTTAGAAAAATACTTTTGAAAGTTATGTAATTTACTATTATATTATATTAAAAGGAAGTGCTATTATTGAACAACTTCAATCCAAGCACAACTCAAGCCTTGTTTTTCAAATTTGAAAAATAAAAGGAAACTGTTATTTAAATAAATATATACCTTTTTAAACTTCTTAATAGGTTCAACTCACCAGTCACCATCAGGTATCCCATCCAGAGGAGGATCCAAGCAAAATATGTGAAAGCCTGCATCACACTCGTCACACAAAAGCAACTTATCATAATCGCTCTTGCCACTGCAGACGTGACAGCCACAAAATTTACAAACTTTCTGCCTATTGTCCATGCACTTTTCACAGTGCACTGGGTAGATTCCTGTAAATGTATTTCCAATTGCAAATTTACAGTCAGAAACCAGCAATTGCTCGACTACTCACTTGGTTTTTCATTATTTAAATTAGCATTGTTACGGTTTTCCAACAATTGCGGCTCTTCTATGCGCATGATCTCTTGAATAAACTTAATATTGCATTCCATTGTAGTTTCGTCATCTAGTAAAGTTCCTACAATATCGAGCGAACCCACTTCTTTCAAAATGCAATCGTACCAAAACCCTCTCGAGGTTGGGGTGTCCTTATTGTAATTAACCAAAACTTTCATGCCTGGCTTTAGCTCTGGGATTTTGTAAGTGTAATAGCTGCGAGGTCTAATATTGCTGAACTTAGCATTGTCAGTATATGGAAAAACAGACACATGATCTTCACTAAAAAAAAAAAAAATTATCTTTATCCCATGAAAAATAGAAACTCAAAAAATAACATAACTTTAAAATCGTTACAATCACAACAACAACATAATAATATCACCTAAACATAAATGCTACATATCACCAGAGTCAGCTATGGGACCCAAAAGTTTTTAGAAAATTTTTAAATATACAATAATACAATCTTTATTGGATGAAGATACTGAGATCAATTTACGCAGAAGGACATAAAAAACTGGCAAGGCCCTTTTGATTTTAAGATTTCATGCACCTGACACCTAATACACTGTCTCTGAGCCATGTTATATCCAAATATTGCTATAACATGATGACTTACCCCTGTTCTGTCTTAAATAGGTCCTTTATTCCACACCTTCTGTATTTTACATTTGTTAAAATTTGAAACTAAGGCATAGACAGTACCAAACTTTCCCAAAGTATTTTTAAAAAATAAATTTGAAGAGTTTTTAAATTTGTATATTATCAGGTTATCCATAGCACATATTTTTTACAATAAATTTTTTAAAAGTCCAGGGTTTTGCATTTTGAAAGTCTTATATATTTAATGGTTATATGATGAAAAAATGTAAAGTAAGATCGAGGGAAAACGCGGTCCCAGACGTCGACAATGCTCTTGGGTGAAGAACATCAGAGACTGGACTGGTTTTGACTCACACATATTACTAAGAAAAGCATAAAAAATGGAAGAATTTGCAATAATTGAATGGCACATTAAGAAGAAGAAAATAACTTACTAAAATTACATACTTTTTGACCTCAAACAGAAGATCAGATTCCTCATTACTGTCTTTCCCAATGGGCTTAGATATCCTTGTAATGGTCCCTTCGGACCAATTTCCCATATCCATCCATTTTGTGTCAACTTTATCCCCAACTTTATAAAAAGCAGACACCGCATCTTCAACCTCTGTTGTGGTCTTCTCCTTTGGTTCCTCGACTGTTTTGCTATGGCCAGGAACTGCGTCATCTTCTACCACATGCTTTTTAAACACCGTTATAACATCATTTGGCACAACGGCGTATTCAAAAAGCTGTTGCTTGTCATGCAACTGTAAAACATAATACCAATGAAGTAAATGCAATAAATGAATCATCAAAAAAAACTCAAGTTACCTCTTTCCCTTTATAAAACAACCGTTGTAAGGTTGTGTTGATATGGATCTCAGCCTCAATGGCCTTTTTAAGATCCAAAACGAATGCTCTCTTGGAAATCGTAATCACAAGTTCTCTTTTCTCGACCTCTTTCAACCAGTCTGCTTTAATGCGGACATACATCTTGAAAACACCGGCAAAATCTTTCAAAACAAAAACTATTATTGCTCGGCACACAAACAAAACAATTTTCACTGTTAGCTAAGCTAGTTCACCTTATTTCAGTAATCCGGCGCAGAAACCACTCTAAGTAACCTACTTCACTAGTAATTAATAAATATTTATATTTTAACAACCAAAACCTTAGTTTTCTAACCGTTTTACAGTTTTGTACCACCAAAACGAAAAAAATAGAATAAGGGAACTCAGTAAAACAATTGGTAAGTTTTGTCGTTGCACAGTGGAATGTTCTAGAAAATTTTGTCTATCACTATAAATCAACATACCTTTTTATCCAAAAGTAAAATGTAACTGCCGCAACTCCAGGATTATTGACCAAACGCAATAAAAAGTTTATAAATAAAATCTAATAGGCAACAAAGAAATAAAGGTAATCGCTTAGGCGTGGCGCCATCTGTGAACAAAAATCAATAATTATCGATGCTGTCCAATTTACAGAATTCGATTCCCTGGTTCCAATAACGCCACGTCACTCTAGTATCTAAGTTTTCAAACAATTTTTTATATTTATCCTGGCGGAACCAGCAGAATATAAGATTTCTAAACCTCTTTAGCTAAAATATGACAAAAATCAATAACAACCCTCTTTATTCCTCGGTAGTAACAGCAAATTGAAAGGCGGATGCTGATTATGTTGTATAAAATGATGGCAAGCCCATATAATAATAATAAAGATTTGGTTTTTTTATACTTATTTGATACAATTTTGTTGGTTTTCTATAAATGTTGCGACGACAACTGTTATTGTTTTCCAAATGATCAATATTTCAATGAATGATGTTTACCTTTATTAAAATACCTGGAAAATTAAATTTCAATTTGCTACTAAATTTATTAAGGTTTTAATTAGCAAAATAGCTCAACATATGATACATTGAAAGTTTTGAAAGTACATTAAAAATGTAATAATAAAGGAAAAGCTGGCAGACCATCCTTAGCGGCCCTTGCCATCAAGGAGGCTCTGCTCTTGCAGGAACGAAGAAGGGGACTCAAACCACACTGACCACGTTCGCAACGGGCTCTTAGATAACACAACAGGCTCCAGAGGCTACAAAGGTCCCTGAAGGCAAGGGGGAAAACTCCCAAATAATAACAGAGGATGGCCAGTAACATGGCCTCCCCGTTCCACTCTCCTCTGTCCCTTCTCCTTTAATCCTACCTCAAAATCACCTCAATCCCTCCCAAAAACGAGATAGGATCGAAAGCTCTGCAGCACCTGTCGCTGCAGAACAGATCCATTTCTTACAAATTAAGTTGCAACCCTGCAAAGCGACTTCAGCTTTACTTAGCAGGGATCTGGCAGTGATGCAAACAGATGTATCTCTGATACAGGAACTCTGTATTTATAGGGGGCTTATAAAAGGGATAGAGACTCTGCATGTACAAATCATCCATGGGCATTCAGAACTGAGGCCAAGGTCTTGCATTTTCGTCAACAAAAGGCTGCAGACACCAGGGATCTAGCAGTGGCATCAATCCGGACCTCAATCGGGGAAACTAGGACCAGGCTCACTGTTGGATCTGGTTACCTACCCCACGACTCAGAGTAAGTAAAACGAAGAACCTCCCTCTACTCATTGGGTGTGATGCGAATGCACACCACATAGTGTGGGGAAGCTCCGACACTAATGGTAGGGGCTCCACTCTTCTTGAGTACCTATCCAGTACGAGTCTGGACATCCTAAATAAGGGCACCAAACCTACATTCCTCACATCCCGTAAACAGGAAGTGATTGACTGAACATTGGGCTCTCGAAAGGTAGCACAATCAATTTCTTATTGGAATGTGATGATGACCCTTTATCAGACCATTGCAAGACCAAATTTGCGCTAAGAAGTGACTGCCTGAAAGATGTAACGGCGGTCTTTAGGAACCGAAGGGTCACTGACTGGGTGTGTTATAGGGCATAACTAAGCAGTTGGGTCGGGCAACCCAAGAGGAACCTAAGATCTGAAGGCAGCATTGACTCGGCCGCAGAGGAACTATAGAAAGCGATTCTGCAATCTTATGAAGGAGCCTGTCCCCTTAGAACTAAAGCATGTAGCAAACAAGTGGGTTGGTGGAACAAGGAGCTAAGTAAACTTCGAACCAGGTCCAGGAAACTACTAAAAAATGCCTTAAAAACGAACATGGAAACCGACTGGGCTTCATACAGGGAGGTCCAAACGGAGTACAAACGTAATATTAAGGCCTCCAAAGTAAAGCTTGGCATAGCTTCGGCGAAGAAACAGAGGACCCACTGCTGGTAGCGCGAATCCCCAGAATCTTTACAGCAGGTCAAAATCTGAAGCTCGCTAGTTTAACTCTTTCCGATGGAAGAGAGACCGAGTCGCACGACGAAACTATAGCTCACCTTTTTGAGGTACACTTCCCGGGCTCGGAACTCACGGGTATTTCTTAAAAGGCTGGAAAGATTAGTTGACAGGTAGATAAGAGACAATGCGCTGGCACAAAAGCCGTTACATCGCTCTCATCATGCATACCAAGCCGGGAAATCTGTGTAAACCGATGTAGTAAAATATATTGAAGGGGCCTTCCACAGCAAAAGAGCGACTTTGGGTATGTTATCGATATCGAAGGGGCCTTTGACAATTCTCTTTTTGACTCTATTCGCGAAGCAGCGGTAAGCTTTGGTATAGAAAACTCTATAACAAAGTGGATCCATTTCATGCTAAGCAATAGAACGGTGACCACAGAGCTTAACGGAAACGTGAAGACACACGTGAGAAGAGGCTGTCCACAAAGCATCGTATCTTCTCCACTCATGTGGATCATGGTCATCAATGGACTTCTGGTGGGGTTGGAAAGGTTAGGAATGTTCGTCGTCGGCTACGCAAACCATGTGGCCCTACTAATCAAAGGCAACAACTTAGAAGAAATTAGAAGGAAGATGCAACGTGCTCTGGATCTTATTGAGGAATGATGCACATCCAGATCCTTGAAGGTTAACCCCAACAAGCCTGAGATGGCGCTCTTCACAAAGAGGAGAAAATTCAAGGTTGTACCTCCTTGTATATTCAACACAGTATTAAGTTTCTCCAGAGAGGTGCGTTACCTAGAAGTCACTCTGGATAGCAAACTCAACTAGAACACACACATCAATAGACAGGTTCAGAAGTCTACTGCCACCTTCTGGGCTTGTAGAAGAATGTTTGGATAAACGTGGGGCTTAAGGCCCATTATGGTCAGATGAATATATACTGCCATCCTGGTCCCAGAAACCACTTACGCTTCGATCGTTTGGTGGACAACATCAAAGCATTAAACAGAGTTTATAGACTTGCGATGCTTGGTATAACAGGGGCTATGAAAACTACGCCCATCCTGGCTATGGGAGCTATACTAAATATTAAACCCCCCATCTCTATATACTAACGCCTCGGCGGAAAAAACTGCCATGAGGCTGCACTTTAATGGCTTTTGGTGGAAGGCGGTTTATAGACATGCAGACATACTTAATGAGAAGGAGCAGGTTCTGACCCTGGGTGGTGATCGCAGCTCCAAGAGCTACCACTTGAAAACCAACTTCAGAGTATACTTCCCAAATAGGCAGGATTGAGCAGAGAACTCCCCAAGCTTCCTGAAACCGAAGGGGCTCATCTGGTACACAGACCGGTCCAAGACACAGAAAGGAACAGGAGCAGCATACCAGTGCGATGTACCAAAAACAGAGAAAACTCTAAAACTGGGACACATGCCCACCATCTTCCAAGCAGAAATTTATGCGATTTGGGCCTGTGCCAGACATATTATCGGCCGAAATTACAGGAACAAACACACACACACACACACACACACACACAAATATATATATATATATATATATATATATATATATATATATATATATATATATATATATATATATATATATATATATATATATATATATATATGATGACACTATATTCCGGAATATCATCCGTTCGCTCGTTGAACTCCGACTGGAATCCTGCATCCGACTGGAATCCTCAATTCAATTCAATTCAATTCAATGCTCGCGCTCCGAAAACACTTCGAACACTGTGTTTAAGTTTACGATATTGTTATAGTTTTTTTTCTTAGATAAACAGTTTTAATTTAATTTTTTTCAAAAATTCAATACTTTGTTACATTATTTTTTAAATATAATGCGCATACAAATGAGAAAAAGTCAAATAATTCCACAATATTAAGTCCAGAGGATACGCGTTCTCGTAAAGGAAAATTTCAAGATACGTTGCCTTTTGAGGAAATTTGTTGAAATTTTTCATAAAATTATTCATTTTTTATACTCTCAAATGTTAACAGATTCTTTTGCTGATTATATTTAAAAACACGCAATTTGTAGTCTGTATTGCATAAACGTGACATCTGGAAAAAATATAGTTCACAAAATCAAACGCTATGGATAATTTTTCTCTGAAGGCGATCATAATATTTATTTGTACTTTCACCACCTTAATTTTGGTCTTACAAGTAAAATTCACAACCATTTCATTTTTTTGAAGTGATGTGACTGGCATAACCACAGCATTTATCAATTTTTGATAACTTTAAATAATCAGTTTTTAATTCTTTTAACAAGGAATTTCGATGAATCAGTTCAACACAAGGACTCCTTAATATCATTTTCAGATGTTAATGGGACTCGAAAAATATTATTTTTTATAAATATGATTAACAACGATTATTTTTCTTTGTTCATACTTTCTAGAGAAAGACTGTTCTTTTTCCAGATTTTTACTTGTCAAGTTACAAGGTAATTTATATTATATAATGTTTGTTGAAAATTATGCTGAAGAGTTTCTTCAGTTTAATATCCATATTTAGAATATTTTCCACAAACCAAAAAAATCAACATAACTATTGCCAAGTCAGTCAGAAAATATTTTCTCATTTATCCAATGTAATTATCGATTCAGGCTTCGTGATAGCCTCTAGCTTCCGAGGGGACTCAAATATCATAAAATTTTCTTGTACAATCATTTTCGCTTCCAAATTGTAGAACTATTAGTCTACTTCCTTTTCTTCTTTTTAATATTCGTGTACATACCAATGTTACTCACCCCTCCACGTCTCATCAAGATACCCTATGTGGTACTGTTTTATATTTAGTTATTTAAAATATATTTTTTTCCAACCTAAAATTCATATTCTACCATAGTTTCCGACTTCGAAACTTCATCAAAATTCTCCCTAAAGTGGGATTTCTTTTAATAGGAAGACTTTTTTTGAT